GATGGATAGATGGATGGATGGATGGATATAAGGATGGATGGATGGATATAATGATGGCTGGATATAATGATGGATGGATGGATATAAGGATGGATGGATGGATATAAGGATGGATGGATGGATATAATGATGGCTGGATATAATGATGGATGGATGGATGGATGGATGGATGGATGGATATAAGAATGGATGGATGGATATAATGATGGCTGGATATAATGATGGATGGATGGATAGATGGATGGATGGATGGATATAATGATGGCTGGATATAATGATGGATGGATGGATAGATGGATGGATGGATGGATATAAGGATGGATGGATGGATATAATGATGGCTGGATATAATGATGGATGGATGGATAGATGGATGGATGGATGGATATAAGGATGGCTGGATATAATGATGGATGGATGGATATAAGGATGGATGGATATAATGATGGATGGATATAAGGATGGATGGATGGATGGATGGATATAAGGATGGATGGATGGATGGATGGATGGATGGATATAATGATGGCTGGATATAATGATGGATGGATGGATGGATGGATGGATATAAGGATGGATGGACATAATGATGGATGGATGGATATAAGGATGGCTGGATGGATGGATACAAGGATGGATAGATGATAGATAGATGATAGATAGATGATAGATAGATAGATGATAGATGATAGATGATAGATAGATAGATAGATAGATAGATAGATAGATAGATAGATAGATAGATAGATAGATAGATAGATAGATAGATGAATGTTAGGGATTTGGGGGATGTGACACCTGAAAAATTCTTAGCATACCCAGACCTGCACCCCCGATATTCTGCCTGGACCCCTTTGTAGGGCTGGCTAAATCCGGCCCTGCTGCCTCCTGGTTTGATGCCAGCCCCGACTTTCTCCACGCAGTTAATGCCAGATTTAAACACGCAACGGGCGGCTGCCAAACAAGCAGGACAGAGTCTGGTCACACTACTCTCCGGGCTGTGGGGGGTTCAGTAGTTGGGGTTGCTTGGCCCATCTTGCCTTTGCTTTAGCAACCCCTAGCTACTGACTGGTGCCGCCCATGCTTACAACGACTCAAGACTCAAGACAACTTTATTAGTCCCCGAGGGGCAATTCGAGACAGCATTGTGAAGCAGCCGGCACTGAAATCTCTAAATTCTAAAAACACAACCAATTTACACATTCGTAAAAACCATAAAACCTATACGCATTCATGTCATAACCTCTCATGTGAATGACCAACAATGAGTAAACCTTTGGCTCACACACACACAAATACACATGCATACATGTAACTACATGCACACACACACACACACATACCAGTAATGCACACGCCCCCTATCGGCACTATTAGGAAGAAGCACAGCTCTGGGAACAAAGGAACGTCTCCTCCTCTGTGTGTTACAGCATGGTCATCGAAGTCGGCGTTTGGAGGGCAGCCACTCCAAAACAGTATGAAGGGTGTGTGGTGGGTCTTTAATGATTTTCTGTGCTAAACTTCCTGTATGCTGGTCACATTGAGAAGTTAAGTTTCGCAGTGGTAGTCCAGTGATCCGAGAGCACACCTTGACGGTGCTCTGTAGACGGTTTCTATACTGCAGGCTGACAGAATAAAACCAACAGGGGATGGAAAATGTGATAAAACTCTCTATAAAAGAATAATAGAACGTCAGTAGAATGTCCTTCCTGACTCCAAACGAATTCAACTTCCTCAGGAGGTAGAGTCGCTGCTGGCCCTTTCTGAGGATGTCCTCAGTGTTGGAAGCGAATTTCAGGAGGTGATCAATGGTGGTCCCTAGATATTTATACTCTTCAACCAGCTCCACTGGCTGTCCATGAATGATGGTGGAGGCAGCGGTAACCAGCGCTCTCTGTTTGTTTGAGAAGGACACCACCACATGAGCCATCTGAGATGTGCAGCGTCGGGGTTGCAAGGCAGTGGAGTCTAACTACAGCTCCACGAGAATAACAAGACACCCTAAAACTAAAACTAACAATATAAAAATCTATCTGGTTTTCAGTAATAAGCCCGAACAAATGATTAAATCTTATCATTTCATCACTGGGATTTCAGATCATTGTTTCATATTATTTTCTAGAAAACTTACAAAATCACGGGTTAAGAATAACTTTTGTAGTTCATCTAATTGGAGATCCTTTCATGAATTTATACCAAAAAGTCAGCGACAAAATGTAGCCGAAGCATTAACTTCAGTTAACTGGGAGCCTTATTGTGTAGTGATGAGCCACAATTCTGACCCTGTCTGGGATGTTATATCAACGTACTCCACTAGAGGTCGACAAAAAACAAAGAAAACTTTTAATCTACCCTGGTTAAACAAAGAGAGCAAGAATCTAATGAAACAGGAGCTCAACTATTAAACTGTTCTTGAAAACAGGTCTAATATGAGGAACAAAGTGACTACAGGCTTGAGACAGGCCAAAGCAACATTTTCTTAAACATATAATCAATCAATCAATCAGATTTTATTTATGATGCGCTTTTCAAGCAAAGTGCTTTACAGAATTAAAACGATGCCAAATTCCCATAACAGTTTGAAAACATTAACAGACATATGCACACAGACACGCACGCACACACACACACTTCAGTAAAACTGTATATTTGGCTGAGTCCAGATGAGCCAAGTAAGGTAAGACAAGGAAACACCATCAGAGGAGCCTTCTGCCCCGGCAGCATCAGGTCTTCCTCAGCAACTAAATGATAAATGACCCGCACTCGTATAGCGCCTCTCAGAGTAAGGACTCCAAAGCGCTTTACACTACAGTGTATCATTCATCCATTCACACACACATTCACACACTGGTGGTGGAGAGAGAGAGAGAGAGAGAGAGAGAGAGACAGAGAGAGAGAGAGACAAAAATACACAACAAAACCAAAATATCACTGCACCAACAACATGAGGATATATAACAGACCCAAGGACGACCAACCCCACCGGGGACCCGACAAACACACCTGGGGCTTCACGTGTCACCCATACTTACGAACAGATCTGTTCTCCTACCATCTTTATGCAGATGACATCCAACTGTACATCTCCTTTAAGCCCCATGAGATGTCTAAGCTGCAGCTGTTACACACCTGCTTAAGCCGGGCGTACACTGTGCGACTTTTTCACTTTTTTGAGCCGATTTTCCGCTCGTGCGAGAATCCACGAGATCGGGGCGAGTTTAGCGCCGAGCGGTCGTGTACAGGGGGTTACGAGAGGCGATTAACACCACGTGACCAGCTGCCGATCAGCAGTCATGAGGTCGCACGGACCTCTGGCGTGTTTGATATTTTGCTCGTTCCTCGTGAGGGTATCGCACTGTTGAAGCGGCGCTGCGAGCAGCTGTGACCCAAAAAGTATCAGAACCGCTCACGGCGCATGCGCAATCCTGCATCAACACCGCTCCCCGCTATTTCCCTAATAACACACGCTGTTCGTTTTTGTTTCTACACGTTTCTTTTTACTCACGAAGATTGTGAAGAAAGCGTGTTTGTCGTGTTCATGTCAAATTAAACTGATCACAAAACACAGATTTACTTTATTTCGTTTTCCTCATCCAACCCCCATAAATCCCTGTGTGTCCTCCTGCAGCGCTCCCGAAGGACAACAGGCAAAACAAGACAAAAAAGTCTGACGTGTTGAGTAAAAACTGCTATTTTTAGCACATTTTTAGGTCTGACGTGTTGCTACCAGACGTACAGTGTGAGCAGTCAGGTCGCATCAGAGAACTGGGTCGTACAGTGTGAGCACACGACTCGTGAGATCTGCTCTGCGAGGAAGTCGTACAGTTTGAGCTGAAGCTGAGTGCTACGAGTGAAAAAGTCACACAGTGTACGCCCGGCTTTACACTCTATCAAAACCTGGATGGTGGGAGCTTTCTTCAGCTGAATGAAGATCAGACTGAGATCCTCATCTGTGCCCCAGACAAGCTGGTTCCCAAAGTCAGAGACTCTCTTGGTCAGCTTGCTTCTCACACCAAACCTTCTGTCAGGAATCTTGGCGTGACCTTTGACCCAGCTCTCACCCTGGATTCTCATGTCAGTTCTCTTGTTGGCTCTTCCTTCTTCCATCTCAGGAACGTTGCTAAGCTGAGTCCCATTCTGTCCCGCTCTGAACTTGAGACAGTTCTCCACACCTTCATCTCCTCACGCTTAGACTACTGTAACTCTCTTTTCACGTGTCTGAGCAGAACCTCCCTGAACCGTCTACAGGTGGTTCAGAACGCCTGTGCTCGGCTTCTGACCAAGTCCTCCAAACACACCCACATCACCCCGCTTCTCCTCCAGCTTCACTGGCTGCCAGTCAACTTCAGGGTTCATTTCAAGATCCTGGTTCTGGTCTATAGGGCCTTACATGGACAAGCACCATCTTACATTGGTGATCTTCTTAGTCCCTACACCTCCAGCAGGTCCCTGAGGTCCAGTGATCAAAGCCTACTGGTTGTGCAGCACCAGGCTAAAGGTCAAAGGTGACAGATCATCTGCTGCTGTGGCCCCCAGACTCTGGACCTCTCTCCCCCTGAGCCTGAGATCAGTGGACTCAGTGGTCTCCTTTAAACTCACCTGTTCAGGTTTGGTGGGACCGTCATCACCCTCTCCTGGTTCTGTTCTTTCTACAACCTCCTCCTCTCGCCCTTTCCTTACATTTCTAAATTGTTTTTCTAATTTCAACCATATTTTTAAATCCTCTTTTATATTTAAATTCTTTGTTCTTGTGGAGCGCCTCAAGAAAGATTTTTTTCTTTCAGGTTTATTAGATTAGTCTGGGGTTAGCTGGAGTAAAGAACAGATTATAAAGCAGTTTACCTGCTTGAACCACTTCTTCTCCATTAAAAACACCCTTTAACGCTGCGAGGTGGGAGGGTGTTTGCAGCTGTGCAGAAAGCCCATGGAAACAACCCCACTGTTGTTTAATTTTTAACACCTGGAGAGAAGATCCTGGAGTCATGTGAGAGGCTGCACTTTACTCTTCAGGAGGTGATTTAACCAGAAGCATGAGCTCACAGGCGGAGGACCGCGTCTGCATGTGGGGAGAAAACAGGTAAATGTCACTCATTCAGACTAACTGGCTGTGCTGCTGAATCAGGGCGCGAGAACGACTGAGAACCTTTGGTGTGGATGCTGTCGCTGCTTTAGTAGATGCTGATGAACACATGAATTTACCCCACTACGGACAGGCCTCCGTGCATGGTGCTGTGGAGCGTAAAACTGCTGATCCGTCTCATCTGCAGGTTTAACATGCTAACCAGGTGGTTAACATTCATAACTCTTCTGGGAAGTGCCGATTCCGTGACTGTAGCCCCCACCTGTAGGGTCAAAGGTGAACTTCTAGTACAGCTGTTGCTGCGCTGTGGAGAAGGAAAATCTGCAGGTGAGGTGGACTTTTTTTTACTGAATTAGTGATTTAGGCCTCATCAACGATCAGTAAAGAATCATAGAAAGCCATCCTGACCCTTTAATGACAGGATTAAGAGCTCATCCTCACTAATGCCTTTGAGCACCTCGTCTCAGGTTGGAGAGAGACGTTTGCTCCGACTGAACTATAATAATAAATGTGAGGTGCAACAGGTTGGTGCAGTAGTCTGTGAATACCAGACAGCAGCGCTCCACTACCATCTATATCTGGTTGTAGGGGAGGTCCAGTTCTGGCACACCCCCTTTGGAGACCTCCAGACTTCAGATCCCTCCTCTGACATGGCTCCGGTGTTTCTGGACCACGACGGGAGGCTGGTGATCCCCAGCTGCAGCACCCACCACGCTGGCCTGTATTACTGCATCCAGCACCACCCACATGGCTCCACGCTGTGGTCGTACGAGCTGCACGTAGGTCACCAGAACCAGAACCGCAGCCAGGAGGTCACCAGCAGGTTCAGGAGGAGCTTCAGGCTTGGGAAGGCGGTGGTGTCAGACGGGTTGTTTACAGGAGCCGTGACTGCATCAGTGCTGCTCACATTCACGGTGGGGTTCAGTGCTGGAGCTCTGGCGAGGACCCGTGTTGTCAGGTGTGTTTCCTACGATGCAGGTAAGGGTATCGCTCCACAAGCCCCGACGCTGAATCAAGAGTCCAACCTACTGTTTGTTTGAGTGAGAAATCAGTAAATCATTAACTCCCGTTACATCCTGTAGGTGTTTACTGGGCATCTCTACAGGGCTGCGGTTACCAAGGAAACGCCACTGCCAAACCGACATGCCAGACCACAGCGCTCAGGTCACCATAGCAACCTTGCCACTCATATATGACAACCAGGTCTTTGAGGCTGAAGCAATGCAAAGAGACTCTAAAGCTTGTGAGACCCCAGAGAAGAGCGTTTCCATGACAACCCCATCTCCCCCCGCCAAGCCCAAGAGAAGCTTCCGGCACAAACGACACGAGGAACAAGAGGCTACGGCATATTTAGAGGGACGTGGCCACAGGCAGGATGGAGAGGTGCAGGAGAAAGAAATCACTGAAGATGAAGAGACTGAAAGTGAAGTGGATGAAGATCGCTGTGAGCAGAAAGTTGGAGAGAGAAGTGATGAGAGACGGGAGGCAGCAGGTGAGCAGGAGGGGAGGGATGAGAGACGGGAGGCAGCAGGTGAGCAGGAGGGGAGGGATGAGAGACCGGAGGCAGCAGGTGAGCAGGAGGGGAAGGATGAGAGACGGGAGGCAGCAGGTGAGCACGAGGGGAAGGATGAGAGACGGGAGGCAGCAGGTGAGCAGGAGGGGAGGGATGAGAGACCGGAGGCAGCAGGTGAGCAGGAGGGGAAGGATGAGAGACGGGAGGCAGCAGGTGAGCACGAGGGGAAGGATGAGAGACGGGAGGCAGCAGGTGAGCACGAGGGGAAGGATGAGAGACGGGAGGCAGCAGGTGAGCACGAGGGGAAGGATGAGAGACGGGAGGCAGCAGGTGAGCACGAGGGGAAGGATGAGAGACCGGAGGCAGCAGGTGAGCACGAGGGGAAGGATGAGAGACCGGAGGCAGCAGGTGAGCACGAGGGGAGGGATGAGAGACGGGAGGCAGCAGGTGAGCAGGAGGGGAGGGATGAGAGACGGGAGGCAGCAGGTGAGCAGGAGGGGAAGGATGAGAGACGGGAGGCAGCAGGTGAGCAGGAGGGGAAGGATGAGAGACGGGAGGCAGCAGGTGAGCAGGAGGGGAAGGATGAGAGACGGGAGGCAGCAGGTGAGCAGGAGGGGAAGGATGAGAGACGGGAGGCAGCAGGTGAGCACGAGGGGAGGGATGAGAGTGAGGAAGATCAGAAATCTACAGGAACAGAAGAGAAAAGCAGGAAAAACAAAGAAAAGACGTCTTCTTGTGTTCATCAAAGCAACAGCCGCATCATCCGTCTCTATCAGTACGATGAAGACGGTCAAAGATTCAGCCACCTTCCAGAACCCGACTGTGAACACCCAGAACCCGGCCACAGGCTCAGACTGCGATCTAAAACACGCCTCAACGCCATCATGATGGCTGCTTCCACCGGGCCGACGGAGGTGGGAGGGTCAAAGCAGGAGCAGGAGGGGCCGCAACACTTCCACATGGAGATATGACCTCCTCCCGGGAGGAGCCGGGTCAGGACAGGAGTGCTCTCATCAGGAGGGAGACAGCCAAACTCCTCACATGACAAATGAAAGCTAACGTTTTACTGGCATGAATCACGAGGTTTAAGCGGCTAGTAGTAACTCACAGCTCTGATAGGATGTGACCGGCTACAGAAGCAAGGTCACAGAGGTCAGGCACAACAAATGACTCAGTGAACGTTTATGAAGTGCTTAGTGACGAGCCTGCAGGTTTGCACCGTTTATTTAGCAGCAGCTCATTGCCCCCCCCCCCCCCCCCCCCCTCCTTTAATGATGGCATCCATCTGAACACAAATCAGGAAAAAAGGACAAATAAACAAATTCCACAACTTTTCCAGTTCCTTTTGTTTGGTTACTGAACTTCTCCATCTCTACGCTATCCCCATGATCCACTAACAGCTGGCTGCTAGAGTAGGCGGGTCCATAGTGATGAGTCAGCAGCACGCGTCATCCATGTTGGTGCTGACCAGACCAAACTACAGTCTCCATTCTTCTATGAGAAGTTTTACTTTGTAGTTTTCCTTTTGTCCTCCAGTCCCACGTGGTCTAGGAAGAGCTCAGTTTGCTTCTGTGCCATTCCACAAACTCGTCCAGCAGCACCGGCCCTGCAGACACAAACCGCTTCATCAGAATCTCACCAGAACAAGGAGCAGAGGCGCTGGTGGCCTCAACGCCGCTGTAGTGAATCTACACAAGCACGGTCACAAACATGGTCGCTGAACCCCTCCCCGCGGGTATCGTTCCTGGGACGCTCTGCCGGAACTACAAACCCGCATTACCAGAGGAAACGAGATGGCGCTAAACACCAGGCTCTGGTAGCTAGTCCTAAAGCTGAAGCGGTAGCAGCCGGCTGTTTCTCCTTCTCTGGTGTTACTGAGCGGAGAACCTCTCACACCGGTGTTCTGGTGATGAATGCGTGATGAGTGGAGGACCAGGGACGTGTGGCGGTTGGGTGAGACGACAGGATGGTCTGATGGTTGGTTTCGGTCTGAAACGGGTTGTCGCTGGAGGCTTTCAGACACGTGCATGAGAACCACTTCATTCATTCTCGATGTCGCCACGATGTATTTATAGCTGTATGTGGGTTTTGTTTTCCAAAAGCTCTAACTGTTGTGATTTAAGATAAACATATCTGCTATTACGGACCAGTCCGCTCTTATTGATGGAAACTAAATGACTAAAATACTATTAAATTAAAATGTTGTCAAATGTGCTTAAAAGAGAAAGGTGTAGCGTTGGAGAGGTCCAACAACAGAGGTCATCAGACATTCAGGTGTCCCGCAGGTCTCCTCTGCCAGGAATACCGGGTTCTTCCCAGCACCAAAACAATTCCACGTTTAACGTCTCCAGCTGCAACATCTGGAAACTTGGTCTAAATAATCTCATGCCGACATGGAGCCCTCCCGCTAAAGACCAGACTTCTCTTTAATAAAGATTTCTGTGGCTCTGCGGGTTGTTTACATCATGTTGTTGTTTCTAAAACAAAAACAAGCAGAACTAGCCAAAGGAATACCACGACTCATTATTACAACAGAACAAAAATATTCAAGCAAGATGGAAATGATTAAAAAGCTTTTTTAATGCAGTTCAACAGAGGCTGACCGGTGAACACGCGACTCGTACGCGTAACCATGGAGAAATGCACCAAATCCTTATTTTGTAAATATTGGGACCAGTTCAGCAAATAAAAAAGTTCAAATGGAAGTTAATGAACACATAACGGTTTATTAAGGACATGGATGAAAATGAAATCATTTCCATGGTAAAAAGATGTAAAGCCAAAAGATCCTGAGGGTTTTGATCAATAATAAAGAGAATGTAGTAAAGTTATACCAGAGTGATCTCTTCGTTCTCCCAGTCCTCCAAAATAACAGAAGATGTTTGTTTTCATAGAAAAATATGATTAAGTGAGCACCAGTTTGGATTTAGGCAACTATTAGCACGCTAGAGTGGATATCTTAAGCTATGTAAGGGTTAATTTACATCTAATTAAGGAACCGTAAGATGTAAGAGTCCATAGTGAATATGAAATCAATCTTACGGACCGCTGGGTACTTTTAACCAGAAGATTGGGACTTTTTATTGCAGGGATTATGTAACACTTGTATTAACTGAGCGACAAGAGAAGAGAGAGTCGCCTTTAAAACGTTTAAGAAGATTTATTTCTAAACAATTTTAAACAAGAATAACTCTAAACTCTGGGTGATGGATGGATCTGGTGTGAATGAGACGTGAGATGAATGGTGTGTGTGTGAGTGATGTCGTCATCAGAACTCTCGTATCCGGTGAAGCACGTCTGAGTGATGTTGTGATGTTTTGCTCTTAAGCTATGATCGGAGTTTCATAAACACGAGACGCCATGTTGTCGCTCCACACATCCCCTTCAGGATGAGACCTCCGTACCGATCCAGACTGCCAGGTCCTCGGACCCCCCTTCGGTACCGGAGCCGATGAAACAGCGTCAGCAGTACGACAGACTAGTCTTTGGATTGTCTCCAGGTAAAAAGCGACAGTTGGTTGACAGCGTCAGATGGAACCCCCTTTGGTTCAGTGAGTTCAGCTTTTATTCTGAAGGGAACCGTTGCTTGGTTGGTAAAATGCAACAGATTTTATCCAGCTTGTTGGTTCTTTGCTTAAAAAGGAAGTCCGGGTGGCCGGTCCGATACTTCTCTTAGCACGCGGTGAACTGAACTAAGATGGCGTTGGAACTGGTTTTATTCATCTGGATGTTTTGATTTGTGGTCGAATCAAAGTTGGCAGGTTTATAAACACCACAGAGACTATGCCACGCTTCAGAAAGGAAGGTTCTGATTGGATGAGTAAACAACGTGTCATGCATTTACATTATGTGTCATCAGCATGTCTAGTGCACTAGATTAAAGTCATATTACTTATTAAAGCATATTAATCATAACATTGTCATTTCAAAGATGGGTCAACATCTTATTATTGACTAACACTTTGTTTGATTGGCTTTATTAAAAATAGAGTTCTTTGTCTTCATTCTTCTCTTGGGCTGGAAAGGAAGCCGTTTAGAAGCAGAGCATGACCTTGAGGCCATACCTCATGCAGCTTAGTTCTGTGTCAGAGACATCTGAGGAGAGGGTAATAACCTTCGGTGGAATAGCTCCTCCATCACGTTACACCTATCAAGAATAAAAAACTGCTATAGGACGACGATACTAGAGTAGCTGAAGACCTGGTTTGATAGCAACTAATTAGGGTTAGTAAAACTAAAGGCACAAACAAATGTCTGATTACTATAATGACTGTATGGCCCCTGCCTGACCGGACCAGCGACGACCCAAACCAGGGTATATACAGCAATCCTTAAGTAAAATTTACTACTTTTTAATACTTTTTTTACTACCTTCAGAATTTTTTTAAAACCATCACAACACTAAATTGCAAGTGTTAATCACCGACCTATTTACACATATTTTAACATATATAACATACAAAAAACATAGACTTAGAGACTCAGTGATGTTGACAACGTATTGCATATATTTATTTTACTTAGAAAATAAGCCAGGCACTTCGTTTCAGCGGTTCAGACAGTTGACCACGAGGCCTGAAATGATGCAGAATGACCACTGAATATGACGTCATCATTATGTGACCGGATATGCTAAAGTAGGGCTGCTCGATTATGGCAAAAACAATAATCACGATTATTGTGACTGAAATTGAGATCTCGATTATTTAAGACGATGTTTCAATTTATGTAGATTTTTTTTTTTTTTTTAATTCAGTCATAAAACTGCTCAGGGCACAATCAGGGCAAAAATAAACAAGAAACAAGATGATCACTAAAAGAACTCCTGGTTCCCAGTATAAAAAGACTAATATACTTACAGCTCATAGTTTATGACCCAAGGGCTATAGACCTTGGTTTAACTCATGTAAGTCTAACCAGTACAGACCAAAATACCAATATCTTGCAAATACTGACAGCAAGAATTATACAGTGGCATTTATAACAAATACATGCAAATAAATTGATGTTCACTAAATTTTGCATAACATTTATTTAGTCATGTCAAGGTGCTGTAGGAGAGTGCACTAGCACCGTGTCCTCAGAGAGATTAGTTATTTATCAGCGTGAGGAACTTATTTCTACCTTATTTATAAACTATTTACAGGTCCATCAGTTAATGTAATAATTGTCCCAACCACAGCTGCACCCCCCACCCCCCAACCCGGTCTCACAGCAATCAGGAGCAAGCTGCACGTGTGTTTAGCACGCCGCAAGCGCACATTTAGCCGTTTTTATCGAGGAGTCCGCAGGTGCGGTGTGTGTGTCACTCACTCTGATTACTCCAACAGGGAACCGACTCTGAGAGCCGTTTCTGTAGCGACTGACACATCACTACATCATTCCCTTTCCTAATGTCCTGAAGAACGGTCCGGAGCGCAGGCGGAGTGTTTAGCTAACCTGCAGGAAACGTCGACGACAGTTATCCAGAAAGTAGCTAAGGGTTACCAGAGATGTTTCTGAGGTGTTCGCTAGGTACTTTTAAGATTCAAAAAGTCAAGAAGGGGGTCTGAGAAGCTGTTAGAAATAGCGTCAAAGTCGCTAAGTTAACTTGGCAACACTGGGAGGAGCGCTTCATTTGCAACTCAGGGCAGCGCAAGTGGGCAGAGCAAATAATCGGCTTGTTTTGTTTTTATAATCGTTCAAAACATTTCATTCGGAATATATTTCTATGTCGATGTTCAGAATACGACACCTGATAGTCTGAAAAAAATAATACCTCTGAGACCAAATTTAACACTTTTAATGGCCTTAAATTTGACTATTTTTATTTATCACTTTTTAATACTTTTTAAAACCCCGCGGACACCCTGCAAACCCATGTTCAGCTGCGTGGTCCTCCAGCCTCTGGGTGTCTAGGTGGTGTCCTGAACACAACCATAACATCAGTAAGACTGTTTTTGTTTCGGCTGTGTTGAGTTCTCATTTACCTCCGTATGTTTCGACCGTGACTATGGTCTTCATCAGAAGTGTCACAGGCGTGTGTGTTCTCAGCTGGTCTCCTGGTGGGCGGGACTAGCGCAGGTTAAAGTTAACCTGGTGTCATTTAGTGGCCTTAAAGAAGCCTGCAACCTCATTTCTTAGCTCTGCTGTTTTCCTTCTTTGACTTTGAGTCGGTATTTGTTTGGGTGTGACCGCATAGTTTAATCCTCGACTAAGACTTTCTGTGTGGTTTCTGTTAATGCACGCGATGGCTGGTTACACACCCACTTTTTGTCGTCTTTTGTCTTTTAGAGTTCCTTTTTTTCATATTTTTGAGGTTTTCCTTTGTTTATCGGTTCTTCGTTTCAATGAGCTCTTCTTCGTGGGAGGTTTTCAGATGTGTGTTGAACGATGTTTGTGTCGGTCCGGATGTTTCGTAAAGTTTTTAATCTCCTCTTGGGTTTGCGTGTTGATTCTCTCCAGTTTGACTGTGCATCGTATCCTTTCTATTAGCAATGCCTTCTTTGCTCTGTCAATCATTTTTTGTGTTGTTTGTTGGGATGGGGTTCTTGATGCTTGTGCGTTTAGGTGTGATGTTTTCATCTCAGCATCGCAGGTTGCATTTAGATGGTTCCGGAGGCGTGCCCGTGCTTTTCTAACCTCGCAGGTTGCATTTAGATGGTTCCGGAGGCGTGCCCGTGCTTTTCTAACCTCGCAGGTTGCATTTAGATGGTTCCGGAGGCGTGCCCGTGCTTTTCTAACCTCGCAGGTTGCATTTAGATGGTTCCGGAGGCGTGCCCGTGCTTTTCTAACCTCGCAGGTTGCATTTAGATGGTTCCGGAGGCGTGCCCGTGCTTTCCTAACCTCGCAGGTTGCATTTAGATGGTTCCGGAGGCGTGCCCGTGCTTTTCTAACCTCGCAGGTTGCATTTAGATGGTTCCGGAGGCGTGCCCGTGCTTTTCTAACCTCGCAGGTTGCATTTAGATGGTTCCGGAGGCGTGCCCGTGCTTTCCTAACCTCGCAGGTTGCATTTAGATGGTTCCGGAGGCGTGCCCGTGCTTTTCTAACCTCGCAGGTTGCATTTAGATGGTTCCGGAGGCGTGCCCGTGCTTTTCTAACCTCGCAGGTTGCATTTAGATGGTTCCGGAGGCGTGCCCGTGCTTTTCTAACCTCGCAGGTTGCATTTAGATGGTTCCGGAGGCGTGCCCGTGCTTTTCTAACCTCGCAGGTTGCATTTAGATGGTTCCGGAGGCGTGCCCGTGCTTTTCTAACCTCGCAGGTTGCATTTAGATGGTTCCGGAGGCGTGCCCGTGCTTTTCTAACCTCGCAGGTTGCATTTAGATGGTTCCGGAGGCGTGCCCGTGCTTTTCTAACCTCGCAGGTTGCATTTAGATGGTTCCGGAGGCGTGCCCGTGCTTTTCTAACCTCGCAGGTTGCATTTAGATGGTTCCGGAGGCGTGCCCGTGCTTTTCTAACCTCGCAGGTTGCATTTAGATGGTTCCGGAGGCGTGCCCGTGCTTTTCTAACCTCGCAGGTTGCATTTAGATGGTTCCGGAAGCGTGCCCGTACAACAAATCCATGAAGAAATGCGTTGTCAACTCATTTCTTCATAGATTTTATTGCAGCCCTGCTGCCCAGTGATGCGTTCACTGACCCATAAATAAATAAATAAATAAATAAATAAGCCACCTACTTTTCATAAATCAGCTGGTCTGCTGCTGAATATCCCTCCAGTCATGTTTTTGGTGCATCAATCATATCAAACCCTTTTCCCAAAAATAACCCGTGGAACTGGGAAAAGGTGAATTTGAATGTTTTCAAGGCTTTCAAGCACCAGAAAAGCTGAATGACGTTTACTGAGAATGATTCTTTTGAACCTGCAGCGATAAAGTTGTCATGATCAACACATGGTTTTGGTCCAAACGGGTTCGGGGTTTACTCACAGGCTCCATCTTCATCATAGTTACTGAGGTCGGGGCTGATGGTCCTGCTGAACTCCAGGACGTTATACCACTGGTCCTTGTTCAGGCCCTTGTACTTACACTGCTGTGGAGAAATAAGGGGTAGAAATGTTCTGACTCAACTTGGTGATGTTTACAGGAGGATCTCCCTTCATGATCACATTCTCTAGATAAATACTCAGAAACAAGAAAAGAGACGTTTACCTCCAGGAACTGCTGGAAGACAGGAAAGAGGGACCATGTCCTCCCCAGCAGCAGAGCCAGCATGGATGTAGCGGTGTCCATGTCCAGACTCCTCTGGTTCTTATCCTGATGGAAACACAAACATTCTAGAAACTTTGACTTTACCGACCGAGTCCAGAACCAGTAAACATGCAAACAAACATTCCTGTTGTTCATAAAACAATCCTCACCCTGGCGAAGTCAAAGGCGTATCTGAAGATGTTTTTGAAGACTACAGAATCACTGAGCTCACTCTGTAGGTAATCTAGTTTGCTCTGCAACCTCTCGGTGCCATCACACCTGTGAACAGACGAAAGCATGCACGTGTCAGCGCTAACATCAGATTCAGCTCAGAAGGAAAGCTGGAGCTAAGACTTACTGTAGCAGCGTCATGCCCCTGAGCCACTCGTCTTTTGTGAAGAAGCCCATGTTGGCTGCTTCTAGATGCCACGCTAAAACCAACATCAGGATCTGGAACGACAGGAGGACAACTTCAGCACGTTTGTGTCCAACAGGACCAACAGGAGGTCAGGGGACTCACGTTCTCTGGTTCCAGACCAATGTCTTCACAGAACGTCTCCATGGCCTCTGGACCAACCACCTTGTCCACTCCGGCGTACTTGTGGAACCAGGCCAGACACTTCTTACTGGAGAAGTGCTTATCAGAGCCGTTTGGCTTCACGCTGCAGATCTGAGGTCGAGTAAAACTAGGAGACAAACGTACTTTCGTCAACCAGGAATAACGTCTTTATCGGTGAAGGCAGAGCTCAAATGGGCAGTTTACCTTGTGATTTTACACTTGTGCTCATATTCATCTGAACCCGCCAGTTTCCTCTTCTTCACAGGCATTATGGGACTTTCACTGGACCTCATTAGCTGGGCTGGAAGGAAAAACAGCTTACAAAAGGTTTCCACAAGACGATAACACACGCCAGCGGAGGCGCCATACCTCGCCAGCCAGAGGTGCCATGCCAGCCAGAGGCGCCACGCCACGCCTCACCAGCCAGAGGCGCCACGCCACGCGGAGGCGCCACGCCAGCCAGAGATGCCATGCCAGCTGGAGGCGCCACGCCTCACCAGCCAGAGGCACCACGCCACGCCAGCCGGAGGCGCCACGCCACGCCAGCAGGAGGCGCCACGCCACGCCAGCAGGAGGCGCCACGCCACGCCAGCCAGAGGCACCACGCCACGCCAGCCGGAGGCGCCACGCCACGCCAGCAGGAGGCGCCACGCCACGCCAGCAGGAGGCGCCACGCCACGCCAGTCAGAGGTGCCACGCCAGCCGGAGGCGCCACGCCACGCCAGCAGGAGGCGCCACGCCACGCCAGCCAGAGGCACCACGCCACGCCAGCAGGAGGCGCCACACCTCGCCAGCCGGAGGCGCCACGCCAGTCAGAGGTGCCACGCCAGCCGGAGGCGCCACGCCACGCCAGCCGGAGGCGCCACGCCAGTCAGAGGTGCCACGCCAGCCGGAGTTGCCATGCCAACTGGAGGCGCCACGCCATGCCAGCCAGAGGCAGGTTCCTCTATCTCTATGGGAGTTTACTCAACAAAAACTAGCTGACATTTGTATTTATATAGACTTTAATCCAACATAGACAACAAAAACAGACATGTCAACACCAGTCTCCCAACACCTGAAACTTCAGGTTTTACTCCATCCGACACCAACGAGGGAGAGACAACTGCGTCACAAGATGTTTCAGCTCGCGCGCCTCGCGGTTCTTCAAACAAGCGACTAATTACAGACATCACCTAGAGCACGGATCCTTCCCATGAGCACTTCAAATAAAAATAAAGACACTGCTGGGGGAGAAAATGGCTAAATCTGGCGTTGGAAGCACCGTCGTTGTCCTTCTTGTTAACCGGAAACAGAAGAAATGACTAAAATAAAGTTTAAAGGCAGATGGTTTATGCCGCACAGCAGCGGGAAAGTCCTAAAGCGTTAGGAACGTTAAAGAGGAGCTGATGCTAGCGTTAGCCGCTCACGACCAGACCACGCTGATGAACTTAATCAGTAACTAAGTTAACGGTCAGACATCCTAACGACGGTTGACTGAGCCAAAGAAAAGCGCCTGCGTCGGTCCCGCAGGGCTAGAAGGTAACGAGGTTTATAGCAGCCTTCTTTTGCTAACATGCTAACGTTAGCGTCTCGCCGCGGGTTCCACATCTATGTCGTTTGTCTTCGTCGCTTCAGACGCGTTTTAACACAATATTAATAGATGTTAGCTGGTGAATCTAAAGCTGACAACAGGTGAAGACCGTTCATTCACAGCGAACACTTACTCTGTCCGCCCGGCTCTTCCCACGGACACCTGCTTCTCCTCCCGGAGCTCTCAGCTAGCCGGCCCGGCAGCGTCATCAGGAAGGTCCCGCCTTTCTCGTCTCTGATTGGCTGGAAGGTCTCTCCTACAATTGGCTAGTTCATAGAGGAAACTGTCGCAGCGTTGACCGCCAGATGCGTTTTTGGAAGACTTCCTGGAATATGGGAGAGCTGTCTATTGTTATTTAGTAGTTTCTGCTGTTTAACAACAGACAGCTACCGCTTATAAGCGTGACTCTCCCATATTCCTGTGAGAATGGACAAAGCTCCTCGGATGAGAAGCAAAATGTCTTCAAGAAACCAAAGAAGTCCAGTTGCTTTCCTTTGAACTTTTGGATTTAATCCACATGTGGACAATCTATTACAGCCTTTATCAAACATGTTCTAAATATTCTGAATTACATGGATTTTAGTCAACATGTCATGCAGCCGACTCAACAGAGGACACACCCTGGACTTGGTTGTCCACCAGTGTGTCCTCTGTTGTTGACCTGGCTGTCTCCTGCTACTACTGTGTGTTTTAGCATCTCCAGCTTTCTCCTGTTACCTCTGTGAGAACTAAGGAAGCGTCATCACACCGCTGAAGTGGCTGCTGGTTTTCTACACGCTCCCTGCCGCTCCGGTGCCTGCCTCCTGCGATCTTATTGTCGATGATTTAACAGTAGACTGAAATCCGCCCTCGACCTGCTCCACTACAGTTAAGAAGCTACAGTTAAAGCGTGCATCGCTGTGGAGAAATGAAGAGCTAAAGAAACACTGCAAGGCAGCAAAAAGAAAAGGGAGAAAAGATCAAATTACAATAAACCATCAAATATATACAGAAGTACTTCAATCATGTGATACAGCATTAAGAAATGCATTTCAGACAATAAAACAATGCCGCCATAAGCATACGCACACTTCAGATGCTCTCTGTGAGGAGTTTGCAGCCCACTTCAGAGGGAAGGTAGACACCATCAGAAGTACTATTTATCCTCCCTAGGTAGTGAGGTTTCAGACTAATCTGAATGTGTGTCTATACCAGAGGAAACACTGCTAGTCCTGTCCTGGTAGAGCTGAGACTCTCCTCGGTGAGGCCCTCCACGTGTTCTGGACCCAATCCCTCTACATTTATAAACACTTCTATGGATCTTTCAGCGATGAGTCTTTCCTGCTGCCTTTAAATGGAAGTGGTGAGGCCCTGTTTAGATTTTAATGACTTAAACAATTATCCATCGGTGTCTAACTTACCATTCTTAAGCTACATGTTAGAAAAGTTGGTTTTAAATCAACTAAATGATTTTATAAACACTCATAATGTCCTAGAGACATTTCAGTCTGGCTTTAGGGTGAACCACGGCCTTTCTGAAGATTTTAGATTAAATGATGGTAAACGGGAGGTGACTGTGTTGGTTCTACTGGATCTAAGTGCTGCCTCCGATACAGTAGACCGGTGGTTCCCAACCTTTTTTGACTCGTGGGCCCCTGAGCCATTTTCTTGTACCACGAGTACCCCCTTAGTCAAATGTGTTGATGATTCCCCAAAAGTAGAACGCACAACTGATGGTTAAATGAAACTAATTAAATCTCCTTAACGCTGAACCACATCTCCCTTCCTGTCCGGCTCAATCCTCATGCAGGGTCCAGACTCCTTGTGGAAACTTTCTGGAGCTCTGCATCAGCACCACAGCAGGTGTAAATGCTCCGATTGGACTAATTGATTTGTGATCCATGTGAAACTGGACCGTATCCATTCTACATGTGGTTCAGGCTCCAGGCCCTCCCTCAGTAGCAGCTGCAGCCCGGTGCTGGTTTTTTCTTCATGTAATGTTTCTTAATCCTGGTCCTCGGGTCTCCGTCCTACTGGTTTTAGGTGTTTTCCTGCTGCCACACCTGATCTAGATGAGTGAGTGATTAACAGGTTTCTGCAGCACTTGATGTCATCCTGAGAAAGCCACATGGCCTAAACTCTGTATCACAATGAACCAGCCCGCCTGACATCATCAGCGTTTCTTCACCACCACCGGGCCAGTCAACAGAGTGACGTGCTCTCAGCTCCTCACATTGTGCAGCCAGTCTCTCTCTCTGCAGTCAGATCACAACGCAGTCAGCAAAAATAATGACTAGACCCAAATAACCAAATACTGAAGAGTTGCGATGATCACTAATGGATCTGAAGTAGAAGAGGGGAGCAGGGCACTGGTGCACATATTAGTGAGGACGACGTTTAATTGTAATGTTGCATCTAATTTAAATCTGAGCTTTAAAAACAAACTGAAACAACATGAAAACACCAGAAAGAGGAAAGTTTTTTAAACGATGATCGCCCATGATCTGAATTTCTGAAATAAGTGTGAAGCAGGCAGAAAATACTGAAACTTTAATAAACTTCCAATGAAAAAGTTGGATGTTTATTTTGTATTTGCTGACAATAATAATAATAATAACAATAAAGGAGCGATGGAGTTTACATGTTGGACCGGGCATCATCATCATCATTTAGGGACTGCATCATCGGAGAGGGAGAGCGGGCAGCAGAGGGCGACACTTTGCAGGTAAATAAACTTTTTCTGTGTTTTAAAAAGAACTGAAAGATGGAATGTTATTATTCTTTTTATTATCCATCCATCCATTGTCCGAACCTGCTTTGTCCACGCGGGGTTGCGGTGGGGGGGTGGGGGGGCTGGGCTGGTGCCTATCTCCAGCGGTCAACGGGCAATCAGGCGGGGTACACCCTGGACAGAGAGCCAGTCCATCGCAGGACAACACAGAGACACACAGGACAAACAATCACACACACACACACACACACACACACACACACACACACACACACACACACACACACACACACACACACACACACACCCACACACACACACACACACACACACACACACAAGCTCACACACACACACACACACACACACACACACACACACACACACACACACATACACGCACACACGCACACACACACACCCACACACACACACACACACACACACACACACACACACACACAAGCTCACACACACATACACACACATACACACACACACATACACACACATACACACACACACATACACACACACACACACACACACACACACACACACATACACACACATACACACACACACACACACACACACACACACACACACACACATACACACACACACACACACACACACACAAGCTCACACACACATACACACACATACACACACACACATACACACACATACACACACACACATACACACACACACACACACACACACACACACACATACACACACACACACACACACACACACACACACACACACACACACACACACACACACAGATAAGTAAAAATGTGACCTTTACACTCTAAGACAGTTAATCATTCGGCTCTGATGCAGGATCCGTCCAGCATTCCTGAGTCGCTGCTCCGACGACCGCTGAGGCCACATGGCTGCTCCACAACCCAGCAGCAGATCTGAGAGCAGACGTGGAGGAGTCCTGGTGAAGATCAGAGAGTTTGACCCTAAGACGGTTTTCTCCTGGTGAGTCGACAAAGACTTGTCGTGACTCTAACTCCGTTTACAGCAAATGAATTGTGACTATAAAAAACTCTGCAGGCAAACAGCCTTTTGTCATTTCTCTGCTTTAAGAACTAAACAGACTCCACTTTGCTGAGTTGACTTCCACGCTGCCTAAACATCTCCCTCCAGCACCTTCAGATCCTAGCTGCTGGATCTTGTTTACTCGTGCTGTTATCAACAATCTGCCCTAAGCTACATCAGCGTTCTGTTTCTGTGGACAAGATGTTTGCTGACGCTGACATTCAGGAACTGCTCCGGTTGTTCCTTGTTCATTCTGTGCAGTAACAGTTGAATAACGATGTCACACAAATGTAAAAATATCATTAATAATAAATTATGCATTAACATTGAACTCATTATTTTATTCAGAAAGGTCAAGCAGGCATGAACCTGCGCCCCAAGCTGGATGATCCAGTTAACGGCTGAAGGATGGTTAGTAGTAGTGATGCACCGATATGAAAGTTTTGGGCCGATAACGACATCCGATATTAAGATCACTGTTAAGGCCAGTAACCGATATTTGCTGATACCGATATGCTGACATCAATGCTTCTAAAATCAGCAGATTTTGTATGGAATGAACATTATTAAAGCGGAATTTACGTTATTATGTACGCACAACACACATTTACGCTACTGAGATGATTACATTCACTGTTCACTAAACAAGTACACATCACCCCCTCACCCTCTGAAACAGACGGACGAGATGGAAAAATATCGGTTGTTAATATCGGCCCAGTTTTATTTATCGAACCGATACCGATATCTTAAAAAATGACCAACATGGGCCGACACCGATATTGATGCCGATGTATTGTCCATCACTAGTTAGTAAGTTTATGTCATGGTTCAGATGAATCTAGTATTGAGTTCTAACTGCAGCTCTCTTTTCACGTGTCTGAGCAGAACCTCCCTGAACCGTCTACAGGTGGTTCAGAACGCCTGTGCTCGGCTTCTGACCAAGTCCTCCAAACACACCCACATCACCCCGCTTCTCCTCCAGCTTCACTGGCTGCCAGTCAACTTCAGGGTTCATTTCCAGATCCTGGTTCTGGTCTATAGGGCCTTACATGGACAAGCACCATCTTACATTGGTGATCTTCTTAAGCGTGGTTTATGCTTGACGCATTCACTTTCCGCGCGGTGATGCGGCTCGCGGATGGAGCACGCTTCACAACTCGCAGCGTTTATGGTTCGTGCGGCTCGTCTCTGCGGTGAGCCAATATTCTCCCAAACTGTAGGGGGCAGCATGGAGCTCTACGGCATGCATCCAACACTACACCATAGTAGAAGTAGAAATTACTGTTTACAACATGGCATTCCAGCATTTTTAACAGCGTCCTCGTCTTTTCCGACAGTGCGAGCTATTTCTCTCCAAGAATTATTAACAACATGTTGATCACGGTGATCTCTGAGAGCTGAATCATACAAATGTCTGTATTTACCAACCTCTGCCATACTAGTTCTTGCCGGTCCGCCATGTTTTTCCGCGTCCGACCGTCCTCGTGGTTAGAAATTTTCTGAGGTGCGCGTTGCAGAAATTCTGGGCCGTGCGGAGGGGCGTGGTTGTTAAAATGACGCAACTTTTCCGCGCGGAGCCGTGCGGACCTCGCGGATGCGTCAAGCATAAACCAACCTTTAGTCCCTACACCCCCAGCAGGTCCCTGAGGTCCAGTGATCAAAGCCTACTGGTTGTGCAGCACCAGGCTAAAGGTCAAAGGTGACAGATCATCTGCTGCTGTGGCCCCCAGACTCTGGACCTCTCTCCCCCTGAGCCTGAGATCAGTGGACTCAGTGGTCTCCTTTAAAAAGCAGCTGAAGACTCACTTGTTCAAGCTGGCTTTTGTATGACCTTCTTCACCTCTCTCTCTTTATTCTGCTCTCCCCACCTCAAGGGCGGAAATCCCATTTAAATTTTTGGGGGGGGGACACACAATAAACAGTAAAACTTCAGAGAGTAATTTTTGGGGGGGACATGAAAAAAATGCTCTCTACATACAACGCTGTGTGTCCTTATGAGAGACTGACCTGAGACTCTGTGTCTGACCGGCTCTGGCTGCCTGGGCTCCAGTGACTGGACTTTGCCTCATGAAACCATTTAGAAACAATTTCATTTCTTTCTTATAGATGTCTTTATCAAAATGCAAGTTTCTACTTACTTGACGTTCTGGAGCATTAAAAAACGACCTGATGTCTGCTGACAGTTGGACAGCAACACACACACAGATGGGATGTTGTCATTAGAGCGGAGCTGGAGGATACTGATCAACAATAATATCTTGCCAATGTTGTACATCTCCATAAGCATCCTTCCTTCTTGTTTTCATTTCAATAACAAGACTGTGGCCTAAAACGGAATAAGCAATTCAGAATAAACATTTAAAAGTAGATCGTTAATAGTTGAAGCAACGTGTCCTGAAACACGGCTATTAGCTGACCAGCAGCTACACGTGTGGACCGATGCAAAGCATAAATTTTAAGTACTAAAACATGTCTAACTGTTTCACAACAAAGAGAGAGAACATAAATGTCAAATTAAAATTTTATTAAATCACATAACAGGAAAGCTACTAAAATCCAAATATTGATTTTAATATATTTGAATTGTTCCTTCTAAATATGTTTAGAAAAAATAACAAACTTCAAATCAGCGTTCACAAGTCAAGTATCAGAATGACTGAAATCTCTTTAATAAATCATAGAAATGTTTGTAGGCTATTAGAGAGGAACTCTGTAATATTTAATAACTTTATCTAAGTCCTACTGAACGAACAGATACACAAAATCTAAAAATATATTCTTGAAATATTTGTTTCATTTTAATAATAAAAATTATAAACATTTACTTTACAAATACACTAAACATATACATACTCTATAGCTTATCTTTCAGTTGAATCGATCTCTCACTTTTCTCAGGTTTCATGGTGTTTTTGGGTCTGTGGCCAACGGGATCTTTGGCTCTATGTTTTACATGGAGAGCTTTGAGCGACGTGCCTCCACCACACATCTGCTGCTACCGGCTCATCCCTAAGCTGCTCGGTGCACCTGCACTCTGACATGTTGTAAACAGCTGCAGAGCCTGGGGAAGACGGGATAAGAGCGGTTAAACGCTGTGGTTTTCCACACATCGGACCAGTTAGTTTTGATTCTACCATATTCATCTGCTAAATAGGATGAAACACGGACATTTTCATCGATCTATAAATGCTCCGCAGATTCCAGGGCAGACCGTGAAAGCGTACGTGTCCGGAAAAAGGAACTTATGATCACCTTAGTGAATGGAATAATATAGCGTAATAATCCTGGAATGACCAGAGAACATGAAGTGACAACTTTTTTTTTACTGTGGTGGTGGTGGTCTGTCATAAAGGGACCTCCAACCGGTGATCAGAATCTAAAGATAATCGGTGTCCATGTTTGACATTTATGACCACATCTGACATACATATTTAAGTTTGTAGAACAAGCGTGTGATAAATGACTTCCTGCTGGAAACCGCTGGCTTTCTGATTCCCGCCTCCTGTGAGCCTGCAGGCTGCTGTGAAGCTGTGAGCGGGGTAGAGCCGGCAGCCCCGCCCGTTGGAAACAGCGCGTGAGGACCGACCGTTCCAACTTGAGGAATTGGGGGGAGGGGGGGGGGGGGGACTATAATTTCTCAACAATTAAAAACACATTGATTTGTTTTTGCAGACTAACTTTTACGTTGTGGTTTTAGAAGCAAATACAGGTTTACTGATAGCATTTATGTGTTTTCAATAACTTTTGTGGGGGGGGGGGGGACAACTTTGTGTGAGGAGGGGACGCATCCCCCCGTCCCCCCTGGGATCTCCGCCTATGCCCCACCTATTCCACCTTCCTCAGGATCCACTGGTTTCCCTCTTTCCTGTTCACTCTCTCTCTTTCTTAACATTTTTAATCACAATTGTCTATTTTTGCTCATTTTAAATATATTTTTAACCATTTTCTAAATTCTTTTTTATGTTTTTACATTTTTTGTTTTTGTGAAGCGCCTCGTGGTTTTTATCTGAGAGGCGCTATAGAAATGATACTTTCTTCTTCTTCTAACATTTCTTATTCATAAATAATGCTCCTGACGGTTTTAGTCCTCTCTTCTCTCAGGCAGCTGCTGAAGACGCTGGCCATGGGTCAGGGTCTGGCTGCTCTCATCTGCGGCACTGCCGTCTCTTCCCAGTTCCTGGCATCACACTTCCATGTGAACACGCCCATGATGCAGAGCTTCCTGATCTACTCGCTGCTGTGTGTTACCTACACCACCATGCTGTTCTGCAGGACAGGTGACGCCACCACACCCCCAATCACAGGTGGACACACCTGAGATAAAAATGCAACATTATTTTCTGTAGATGTTGTCGTCGTGTCTGATCCTGTCTCACTGAGCTCTCAGATATTCAGCCGTTTTTATCTACCTGATAAAGGAGACAGCAGTGAATGGGGAGCTGACACTCAGAGATGTTTCCCTTTCAAATGCAGGGGACGACAATATTTTGGAGATTCTTAAGAGACGGTGGTGGAAGTACTTGTTGCTGGGGCTGGTGGATGTGGAAGCCAACTACACTGTGGTCAAAGCGTACCAGTACACCACTCTCACCAGTGTGCAGGTGAGTACAGGTTTGTTAAGTCCTCGTAGGAAATTAAGGACAATAAATCCGTCACCTCCCACAGTTAGCATAGCTTCTCTTTGGTCTTTAACCCTATGGTAGAGTCTGAGATGCAGAAACCAGAGAGGCAGCTTCAGGAACTTGGCAGCACTTAAAAACCTGGAAAAATGCCCCAAATACAAAAATAAAAATAAAAAACTGAAATGTTTCTACTGAGCTGAGAAAAAGGACTTCCTCTTTACACATTTCCTCTATTTTGGTTTGATGTCATAATTTTTTGTTCGAAATCAGCAAATAAAAAATATCCGGTTTGACAGCAATTTATTAATTTCTTTTATTTAATCTTTATTTAACCAGGAAAGAGTAAAATTCTCATTTACAAACATGTCCTGGCTGAGAAGCAGCAGCTCAGTCAGCAAAACACATCAATCAATCAATCAATCAATCAATCAATCAATCAATCAATCAATCAATCAATCAATCAAAGCTTTATTTAAAAAGCGTCTTCCGCAACCCTGTCAGGAAACCCAAGGCGCTGAACATGGTACAAGAGAAAGTTAAATATGGTGAATAAATCGAAAATAAAAGCAATTCAAATTACAAAAAAAGGTCAAACAAGGGATTGAGCGAACCGATGACAACTGAAATAAATTCAACATAAAAGAGGGCCAAAGTCAAACATGTTCAGGGAACGCCAAGCGGAGGAGGTGGGTTTTTAGGCGGCTCTTAAAGACTGGCAGAGATGGGGACAGCCTAACTGAGGGTGGCAACTGGTTCCAGAGTAACGGTGCTAGGACTGAGAAAGCCCGGTCCCCACGAGTACGACACCTAGACCGAGGGACAGCGAGCAGGCCTTGGTCAGAGGAGCGCAGAGCGCGTGATGGGGAGTGTCTGTTCAGGAGTGTGGCTAGATAGGGGGGAGCATCACCCTGGAAGAAATGATAAACAAAGACGATGTCATGAATCCCATCCTTCACCCTCCTCTGCCTCCTCATTTACTCTTCATTCAGCTCACCTGGTCCCCTCACCGAGCTCCAGCCAAGCCCTGTTTTCCCTAGCAACCTCAGTCAGCATCACAATCAACTTCTTTCATCTCACCTGTTCCTGCAATCAGCCTTCATCCACTTCACCTGCTCCTGACTCCTCAGCTCATTACTCACACCTGTTTCCCCTGCTACAAAAGGACCATCCATCCAGTCATTCACGGCCAGATTATTGAACGTTATTGCTAGTACATCTTCCAGCCATTCTCCCTGCCTGTTTTCTGCCTCCGGACCTTGTTTGTCTCCTGACCCCTGCCTTGCACGCTGCCTGCCATTTCGACCTTCGCCTGTCACTGACTCTGTCTCCAGCCTCGCCCTCCTGGTAACTCTGCTGCAAATAAAGACTTTTTAAAATCTATTTTTACTGTGTTTGGCGTCATTACGGGTCTTCTGAGTTCTGTTCGTTACAGACGAGGAGTTTGAAGTGTGAACGATAACAGACCGGAAGCCAGTGCAGGGAGGCCAGAACCAGACTGATGTGGTCCCGTTTCCTGGTCCCAGTCAGGAACCTGGCTGCGCTGTTCTGCACAACCTGTAGGCGGCGCAGTGATGACTGACACAACCCTGCTTAGAGAGAGTTGCAGTAATCAAGCCTAGAAATAACAAAGGCATGCAGTACCCGCTCCAGGTGGGCTCTCGACAGCATGGGCTTGATTTTTGCAAGGCGTCTCAGGTGAAAGAAACTGGACCGGATCACAGAATTGATGTGAGCATCAAATTTAAGTCCAGCATCAATTTTCACCCCCAAACTGGTAACAACTGGTTTTGAGTATGGAGAAAGAGGGCCAAGATCAACATAACGATCCACATTCCTGCTGTTGGGGTGAAAAACAATGAGCTCTGTCTTTCCCTCATTCAGATGCAGAATGTTTCCCATTAGCCAAGACTTCACCTCGTTAAGACAGGACACAAAGGACAGGATAGAGTGACCTTTCTCCTGACACAATGGAGAGTAAATCTGGCAATCGTCAGCATAGAGATGGAATGATAGGCCATGTTTACGAAAGATTGACCCCAGAGGAAGCAGATAAATGGTAAAAAAAAGAGGACCAAGGATCGATCCCTGCGGGACCCCCATTACAGGTCTTCTGAGTTCTGTTCATGACAGAATAATCTGCCCAAAAGTCTAACCCGATGCCGACACAGCACTTGGGAGTATTTTTATTCTCTCTCTGACCTGTCATGGAAGATCTCACTCTCCTTGAGTTTATGGAGCTTGAACGGGAACAGGAGTCACCGCTCTGGGGAACAGGTCTGACAATCAGGCCACTGCTGCACAGAGGTTCCAACTCTCCTGTCGTTGCACCGCTCCAGCCTCAAATCCCTCCTGTCAGGTCACAACGGCAGCGGTCCCAGAGGTTTTCTAGAGCTGATAAGAGGGTTGATCCTTCTCCCATGCTGGTATCGGCAGATTCCTCGGACGACACCTCATGTTCTGCTTCTGGATCAGTCCCAACGGAGGAGATTGTTCAGACGATGATGCAGATGGTCGAGGAAGCTGTGTGGGAGGTCTATGCCAAGCCAACCTGCCCCCACTTGCGTCTGCGGGCGGCTGACAGGTTGAATGTCATCTTCTCCACCCATTCAGAATTGATAGCAGTTCCAGCCCTTGGTAATTATTACCTTCATGTCCGGAGGGTATATGGGTCTGCACTTAAGGATGTCACCGCAGAGGCTCTGACCTGCTGTGAGAGGTGGTCACCTTCCCCAGAACCCTCCAAAGCATCACATCCTGCTTCAACGGTGGTCCCGGAGGTCGCATCGCATCCTGCTTCGGCGGTGGTCCCGGAGATCGCATCCTAATTTGGCGGTGGTCCCGGAGGATGCATCGCATCCTGCTTCGGCGGCGGTCCCGGAGGACGCATCGCATCCTGCTTCGGCGGCTGTCCAGGAGGATGCATCGCATCCTGCTTCGGGGACGGTACCGGAGGACGCATCGCATCCTGCTCCGGCGGTGGTCCCGGAAGACGCATCGCATCCTGCTTCGGCGGTGGTCCCGGAGGACGCATCGCATCCTGCTTCGGCGGCGGTCCCGGAGGATGCATCGCATCCTGCTTCGGCGGCTGTCCAGGAGGATGCATCGCATCCTGCTTCGGGGACGGTACCGGAGGACGCATCGCATCCTGCTCCGGCGGTGGTCCCGGAAGACGCATCGCATCCTGCTTCGGCGGTGGTCCCGGAGGATGCATCGCATCCTGCTCCGGCGGCGGTCCCGGAGGACGCATCGCATCCTGCTCCGGCGGTGGTCCCGGAAGACGCATCGCATCCTGCTTCGGCGGTGGTCCCGGAGGATGCATCGCATCCTGCTCCGGCGGCGGTCCCGGAGGACGCATCGCATCCTGCTCTGGCGGTGGTCCCGGAGGACGCATCGCATCCTGCTCTGGCGGTGGTCCCGGAGGACGCATCTCATCCTGCTTCGGCGGTGGTCCCGGAGGACGCATTGCATCCTGCTTCGGCGGTGGTCCAAGAGGACGCATCACATCCTGCTTCGGCGGTGGTCCAAGAGGACACATCGCATTCTGCTTTGGCGGTGGTCCAAGAGGACACATCGCATCCTGCTTCGGCGGTGGTCCAGGAGGACGCATCGCATCCTGCTTCGGCGGTGGTCCAAGAGGACGCATCGCATCCTGCTTCGGCGGTGGTCCAAGAGGATGCATCACATCCTGCTTCAGCGGTGGTCCAAGAGGACACATCGCATCCTGCTTCGGCGGTGGTCCAGGAGGACGCATCGCATCCTGCTTCGGCGGTGGTCCAAGAGGACGCATCGCATCCTGCTTCGGCGGTGGTCCAAGAGGATGCATCACATCCTGCTTCAGCGGTGGTCCAAGAGGACACATCGCATCCTGCTTTGGCGGTGGTCCAAGAGGACGCATCGCATCCTGTCTCAGACATTCCAGTCTCAGGTGATCCAGTCTCAAGAGTCCCCTCAAGTGTTCCAGTCTCAAGTGTTCCAGTCTCAAGAGTCACCTCAAGTGTTCCGGTCTCAAGTGTCCCAGTCTCAAGAGTCCCCTCAAGTGTGAAGCGAGTGTGTCCTATTTGTTGGTTCCTTCAGAACCCGGTTCCGTTAGAACCTTAGAATACGCTGCTTTCTCAGGGAAGTTGGGGTCGCAGGTGAGTATTATTGTACTAGACCCTGGTTTGGACCACGCACCTTTAATTAGGACTCGCTTTCTAGTTTAAGGTGAAATGAAATTTGCGCTACTTGTTCTTCCGTAATAACACCACTTTCCTTTTAGTTTCTCCCGTTATTTAGTGGTTTTAAATACTAGGGCAAAAGTTCACAAAGAGGCCATGTTTGTGATTATTATTTGGGTCCTATCAGGATTAATTTGCGCCTCTGTCAGCATTTGTGGGTGGTGGTAACTAGAAAATGATTCTTGTTAGTTGATCAGGCTAACATTGATTTATCAATTAATCAGATTAATCCACCCTTTTAAAATGGTTTCTTCCCACGCTAAACAAAGACTTTTTTAGTGCAAAAAGAGCCTGTTTGAACCAACAAACCGTCATGCACTATAATCCTTAGGGTGTCCCGCTTCCAAGAGGGGGGGGGGGATTTCTCCCTCACCTAAGGTTTCTTTTCTTAGTCTGTCACAACCTGTAAACAAGTCCTGCAGTACAGGAACAAGCTATTCAAGGCAGCTTACCTCCAAAAGAGATGATGGTCAGGGCCCCCACTCAAACCTATAAAAAGGACCTTTAAGAATCAAGAATGAGGTTTCTTTTTCCAAAAATTTATTTCAAAATTGCAAAATACAAAAAATAAGTAAATATATAACTAACCTATCCCCTGTGGAGGATGCTAATGCTAAAATCTTCCTGAGAATAAATGGTTGACTTGTGTCAACACTAACCCGTCACTCTCTAAGTCTAGGTACGATTCTCTCCAACTGTCCCCAACGACTGACCTGTCGTCCTCCGACCAGAGGACGGAGGACGACCTCTTGTATCCCACCT